CTGCAATAATATGAGCACAGAGGAGAAAGGGCCCTCAGAGATCGGACAGGGATCTGGGTTTAGAGAATTACATGTCTCTTCATTTCTATGTGGACAGAAATAGCAAGTCATTAAGAGAATGGCAGGTGATGGGCAGATTAGAAGGGCTCTGTAGAGACATGTGTAATGAAGACAGTGCAACCTCTCTGTATTTTTCACTGTCTAGTTCACGTCGCATTGTCCCCAATCTGGCCTTACTGTTCAAATGCAATGAAAGTGAGGGATACTACTACATTTGATTATTTTCAGCAGCTGTAGAATATTTTAAATTGTATGTTCATAAATATGCCAGGCTTTAACATCTGAATTTAATTGGTCTTTCCTTTGCCGTGGTAAGGTCAAACTTGGGGGTCTATATTTTGTCATTAATGTAAGCAAAGCACACATAGTTGGTGCTCTCTGTGGTTCACAGTTATTGCCTGTCACATAAAATTACATAATTTAACTTTTAAATGAAAGAACCTCTGACTTCTGCTTTATGTAATACTTTTTTAGTTGTAAATGAAGCCAGATTTGATTCACAGCCGTGTGAACAGTATACCACGTCTAATCTCCAGAGCATTTTGTTTACGTGTTCAGACTGCAATGGCGTGACAGCTGACAATTAGTGGAAATGTTCCAGAATGTAGTTCTAGTGGACCATGATGGTTTCCCTGGTCCCCTGAGATTACACTGTTGTGTTGTGCTTAATAATCCAAATCCTTTAACCTCCTCACAACCCAAGTGTTTTTTCATCTTCACTGTTCTGTATTTTCAAACATGATCTGTGACCTAACAAGAGGAAAATATAGCTAATGCTCGCCCATGACAGTGTGGGTGAATGTCTCATTTTAAGCTTCCTGTCTTGTTTGCTTCTGTCAATGTGTACACCAAAAAATTATAAGAGATATGATAATATCTAATATCTAAATATAATTATTGTCTCCCAAGGAAGAAAAGTGTCTTGGGACAGGGGGTCACATGCTTAAACACGCAAAGAAGACATCACCAACATTGCAAGCATATTCTAGTGAACATCCACCACTTAACAAAAGTAAGAGACTAAAATAGCCACCATAAATATATACCATCTGGGGGGGCTTTAAATCACTATATGTGGACAGGTATTTCACAGACTTTAAGCTCAGTTTTGATTGCACGCAAGTTCCACTCTGCTGCAGTTGTCAGCTATTCCATAATGATACTGAACAATACAGATACACACTGTATGTGCTTATTTAGGATGTTGTTGCTACTCCATATATCTTTACATTTTAACAAGATAATCTAGCAACAAAGATATAAATGCAGGAGAGATCGCTAAACCAAAATAGCATCTCATAGTGTTGCATTGTGGGAAACTATGAGAGCAATACATAAATTACTGGACACCAGAAATGGAACACAAAAATAAATGGGTAGAGCTTGTGATCGCCAGTGCAAAATGATGTTTCTAGCCGTGCGTTTGTAAAGGACCACTGAGGGAGGATGTCCGAGGGTGACAGAGGACAGATATTCACTTTGCCCAGTCACCATGGATCATGCAAGACAACCTTTGGGGGAAGTAAATCTTTGGGTGATAAGCACAACAAAACGTCAGGGAGAAAGAGCGCTGTCAGCAGTCATCAAGATGGCCAGGCCTGATAGTGAGGTCTGGCTTTGTAATCACCTGCACATGCACTTTACGCTCTGACCCTGAGCTCCACGGCTTCTTTCAAGGGCATTTGGGAGATTGAAGGATAAGTCTGTAATTACCTTCTTATAAAAATATATGATTTGGAATAATATGAATACGTTTTGGGAAATATGATTTTCACTCTCTTGACTGTCTTGTAAGTCTTGTTAAAATGCTGTTACTTCCTCAGAAACATACTTGGAGTTGTTTTTTGTTTCATTCACACATGTTTGAGTAACCCTTTATTATTAGTCTGTCTACATCTCCAAAGCTCAAAATCAGTGTTTCCCAAAGATTGGGTCGCGACGCATTTTTTGTCTGCGGTTTTGCGATTTTTTTTTGGGTCACCTTGTCACAATCTGCATGTCGGTCTGCAATATACAGTTCTGATCTGTGACCTTATTGTCATTCTGGATAAGCATTTGGTCAGAATCGCCAGTCCTTAGTAGGGCCAGTGTTTCTATGCTTATTCCTTTCACTACTACATATATGTGTGAATTAGGATTTTCTGTGCTCACAAAAATGACGCCAAAGCGCAGAAACAGACTGAATGCTGCGCCTGATCTGCTGCTGCGCTTTCCTCCTGCAGCCCGGGCTGGAACGAGCTACAAAACCGCAGACAGGCCCACCTATATTAGAAATGTTGAAATGTTAAGACATGTTTTTCTAATTTTTTTGTAATTATTTTATTGACTATTTTGTTCTAGTATTGCTTGTTCAATTGAATGTTGAAAAGAAAAAGAAATGGGCTGCATTTAATGTTTAAATAGGTGACTTTATTGTATTGCTGGTTCAATTACTGTTTTTCATAGTTTAAAACTTGAGTAATACTAATTGTTCAGAGAGACACAATCACTTAGTCAACAATAAAATATCCTCATTAATGTTCAATAGTGGTCAGATCCACCTTTATTTTGTGATTTATGAATAATGTCTATTGACTTGGGTCACGAAGGTTTGTGGCTTTTAAAATATGGGTCCTCAGAAAAAAATTAAGTTTGCGAAACACTGCTCTAAATGCTCTGTTTCACCTTGTGATGTCATGTAGTGGTTGTTTTCAAGTTACATTTTACCTTTCCTTCAGAAGAGTTTGGCAATTCCAGGGCTGAAATTATCAAAATGATTCTAGTGAAGGTGTATGGAGTTTACAAACACAGTCGAGCACTTCGTGTATCACCACATGACATCACAAGGTAGAACAGAGTGTTTTCTGTTTAAAAGAAGAACTGACCTTAAATATGAAGGGTTTGTTTGTTAAACATGTGGAAATGAAACAAAACACAACTCCAGAGATGTCTGTGATGAGAAAACAACATTATAACAGATCAGAAATATGGGCCCATACCTGGGTAATGGTCTTTACTGGATGTGTGGATAATTGTACAAAGTCATGTTTTCTGTTTTCAGAAGGCATACTGAGATGACTGAAATGCTTATTGATATACTAATGGGTTTGTGTGGTTTTGTGAGCTCTTTTGCTGAGCTCTTTAAGTGTTATATCCTTATTTAAAAAGCTGTAACATATAAAATTCCCAAATTTCAGAGACGATAAACTCTCAGGCAATAAAGAACTTAATTAGTTCACTCCTCATTATGTTTAATAGCCCCAAATTGTCTTCTTTGTCAAACACAGCATTTCCATTGGATATTTTGAAGGAGATCAAAGATAAACAGTGAAGTGAATGAAAATGTGTTTTTGTTTATTTACACTGGATTAAAACTAAACTTCTTTATATGCATGCATGTCTTGTCATATCAGATACTTCCAACAGTTTTCTGCAGGCATCCATCCCTGTCTATTTCCACTGTATTTTAAATTCCCCCAACAGACTGATGCCAGAAGTAAAGAGTAACATCTGTCTAATTTCGTGCTTGTCATCCTCCCATCTGCCGAAGTCTGCGCTTTACACAAGACACAAAGTCATCACTCTGTCAGTCACTCACGCACACACCACTAACCTGCTCAAAGTGCTTCTGTCATAAGCACAGGCGAGCCAATATTATCATGCTCCTAATGAAATCTGCCTAAGGTTCCCCTGCAATACAGTTTATTATGGCTAATCAGATGCACTCAGTGGTCAGTGGTCATCAGTTGTCGTAATGTCCATATCGACACTATATTGACACGCACGAAATGAACCTATTGCTGATGGGGGTGTGAAGTTAACGGTAGGCACTGCTCTGTCTGAAGTGGGCTTTATTTTAACACAATCTGGCCATAAAGAACTGATTTGTCTGGAACTGCGACAGGTGAGCTGATTTGTGCTGTAAAATACGTCCCTCTGGGATAACATTACAGTCACAAGCAAGCATTAGCAGATTTTCAGTTTGTCACTCTCCATTTTTGAAAATTAAACACCTTAACATGGTCATGGATGCTTGTTTGGATAACAGACTCCTGAAAATGTGCTGTGTAAGCCCATTTTGTATGAGTCTTTAGCCAATCTTAAAACTTTTCTGACAGTGTTTGCTAATGTGTGCGTTGTGTCTCCACGGCAACAGCTGAACGTTGCACTATATAGATACAGAACACCCCCAGCGCGGTGTCACTGCATTTAATTAATCTTAATAGAATAATACATTATTATTTATTATTATTCACCTATTTCTTATATTTTCTCTTTAACATCATTTGTGATATTAAGTATAGTATTGTTCACTGAATTTTATGTCTGCCCTCTGTGAGATAAGTTTAACAACAAAGTGCTCATGTAGTATTTTGTGAATGTTGATATTGGTGAAAAGTGCCAGTGCTTTCCCTTCTATGGCCGGTCTATTACTGTAAATGTGTTTTTCTTTATCGTCAGTGGTTGCATAGGAGCTTTGTGGTGCACAACCTCCATTTTATGACAAACACCAAAGACACCACAAAGCCATCATTTCAACTTACACACATAGCATGTTCAGATCACGTATTGACATTTTAGATTTTAAATGAAAATGTCTGAGGCCTCTCCATATTTCATTTCATGCCTCCTAAAATTTCTTTATGGTATGTACTGCAAAAATGGGCATAATCATTTGTTAATCTGATCAAAACAAATCAGATAAAACCTTCTATAATGTTTGTGTGTATTCATCCAATGTGTATGTGTGTGTTTAAACATCCCAAAGCATTTATATTTTATAATCAAAATCCTTTTTATATGGCTTCCCGGAGGTTACACAAAATGAGTGTAATACTTGTGCAAATTTACATTGCACAAAATATGTAAATGTGAATATTAATATGCAAATGCACTTGTTCCAACACCTCGTACACCTCCTTAAATCCATGTCCCTTCTTGTCTGCCTAATTCTCCGCTAGGTGACAGAAACACGGACTGGGCCACTGGGCTGCAGCAGCTATGATAATCTGGACTCCGTCAGCTCCATCCTCCTGCAGAGCCCCGAGAGCAAGCTTCATCTGCAAGGTAAACAACAGCCACCAATCTATATTTCTACCAACACCACCCCCGCTAAGGCCAGCATCAGCAGGTAAAGGGGTCAAACCATATTTTAGCCCCGCGGTATCACGGTGTGCCTATCCTCAAGCAATACCATGCACCCGCTAAAATGATTTGTGCCTCCGTGGAAGTGAGTGTCAATGCGTTTTTTAATTGGGTCTGAGGCAGGCATAGATTTGCTCCTCAAAGCCCCGGGGGATTGTGATAGCATTCTCCGTGGTTAGCGCTGTCTGGCTCTCTGTTCTAACACAATAAGGCATGGAAGTTTCCAATGCTTTCTGTAGTGTAGACATAGACAGTGTTGTAGTTGGCGTCTCACATGGCAGCCCTACAAAAAGTAACTGGAGATGTCAAGATTTTTTGGTATTTGAGATCATTCAGGTCACAATATAAGTAAGAACTAAATAAAATATTAATATTGGGACAATTTTAGAAGGAAAATAATGTTATTTTTATTCAATGCATATCTATCTATTATTATTATTTTTTAATCTGGCTCTGTATGTCTCACATTCACATTACTTTATAATTATTTATAAAGAATGTTATTTTTTAATTATAGCCACATAATAGGAGAATGATTTTGTAATAAACATTGTTGATGAAAGGCTGTTTGATCAGGGTGTTGTCAGTCTTTCTCTTGCTATTTTATTAATTAATAGTGTAAAAAAGTAAAATACATGTTCAATGGTTTTTTGATATTCATTTTATTTTATGCAATATTTTAAGAAAGAATTGATATACATGCATAATCAACATCCTGCCATTCACCAGGCATATTATCACAATTTGGGCATGTTACAAAAAGGGAAAAGTTCTTTATAATAGAACTATTCTTAGACACAAATAGTGACATAAGCAATAATTAGCCAGTGTGAAGAGATTGCATTGAGTTGCAGTCACTTTCACAAGGATCACAAGAGCCCCATGTAATTGGTCAAGTGTTTGAATAGAATGATTGCTTTCTTGATTTATTTCACCCCGGTTATTAAAATTAGTTGGAGACTCATTTCCTAAACCAAAGCCTGCAGTGTGCCTCTCCTCTGCGTAGAACATTTTGTGCTCCCTGGATTGAGAGAATTAAGAGCTTTGCCAAAGAAAAACTTTTAAGTCCACTTACCCGGACAGCTTTTTAGGTTTTGGGGGGAACTCTTTATTGTCATGCACAAAATGTATTAGCGCCGAGCTTTTCAGACTGTTTTGTCACCCAATTGATAAATGACAGGCCTGGAAAAGGCTCTTTCTCCCTGAGTTATAATAACCCCAGGAGAACAGAAAATCTCCTCTGAGTGGTTTCTGGTTTAAAATTGTGCCTTTTTAATGTAAGTGTGTGTATGTGTATGCGTGTGTTGCCATGTGTCTGGTGCGTTATGTGGGATGAGGGTGGGTTTTTAGACATAAGAGCAATTATCATCTCCCCCTTTAATTAGAAAGACAGCTGATGTTGAAACTCCTTGAACAATTATAGTGCTCTTCAAAGTGATGATACTTCACACAGCCCGTGGAGACGCGTAGAGCCTTGGAGAGCGGTGGGGCCCTGCTCTGCTCAAATATGTTTAGAACAAGATGACCTCAATCACTCAAATCAATCACTGTTTTCATCTGCCATGAGCACTATTGGGAGTGTATCATTTAGCCGACTTTTATCATGAACAATACATAATCTCTGAGCCAGACAGTAAGATCTACGGACATTGTTAAGTGCATTATATGTACAGTGGGGCTCCAACATCACAATCAAATCAGAATCGCAGTCAGAATGAACCCAATGGCAAATAGGTAAGGCTAAAATTTACCAGTATCTTCCACAATCAACCAAATATTCAGTCTTATTTTGCATAAAACTGCTAATCCCTAATATTTGTATTTGCTTGCCAGCTCATATTTCAGTATTTTTGTCAATTCTTGTGGGTGCGTTTAAAATGTAAACTGTGAACAGAATCCCATTATTAAAACAAAAATCACAATCACAATGCTTGTCTGAAAAAAATTCAAATGTGATGTTTTTCCCAAATCATGCAGAATTACTGTTCAGTTTTATTAGTTCAATTCACAGACTTTTCAAAATTCAGTGTAAAAATAAAAGAAACCAAAAAATACATTTTGTCCCAAAAGAGACATACAAATCACTTAGCTTAGAATATTTTGCTGATGCCCTTCTTGCTGCATAATAACTAGCATTGACATTGTGGGTGAAATATTTTGCCTAAGGACCCTCAAAAACAGTATGCAAAATGTTAGAGCAGCAAAACTGAACCAACAACCCCCAGCTAGTGGGCGACCAGCTTAACCTCTTATAGCTCTCTTGCCCCTACATAGATAAATCTGAAAATTTTGGTAATACAGTACAATAGCATCTATGGTAGTGTATTGTAAAACATAGCTGGATAGAAATTCTAAAATATGACATTACGTCGAGTTATATAATCTGACTTATTTCTTTCTTTTCAATCCAAATGAACATACAAGTCTATTTAAATAAGCATTCTGAAGCCCATATACTGTATGTCAGGTATAGACCATGACATGATTATAGGGTGAGTCCAAGATTTTTCTCAGCAAAACATTTTCTGAGTCCTTTTTTCCTCTTTTGAATACCCGTGTGCTTGCCAGTTGCTATGGTGATAAAGAGCAGCCCCAGAGCCAAGATTAATTGTAAAAAAAAAAAAAAGTAAGCAAGGAGCATAACTATTGGCAGAACTATGTATAGGTTTAAGGTTTGCACTGTGTATATTTGACGTGGCTTGTTGTAACCTTGGTAACAAAAAAGTCAGAGATCAATTTAAACTTTAATTAATTAGAAAAATGCATTATATTTGAGGACCATCCTAATTTTTCGTGATTTTGAAACCCATGGCAACCCAGCTCTGGCTTTGTATAAATTACTTAATCAATTAAAATATGTACATTTGCCAACAGTGTGCAGAGCTTTCATTTGTGTAAAGCGAGCCTGTTTCGTTGCTATAGGTGACCATAACGGGCATGAGCAGCTCTTATGCATGTGTCTCATTTTCAAAAACCAAGTGACCTTTTACCAGGCAATTAGCTTAAATTCAAACCTTTATAGACCGAAGTGAGATCATGAACAACTAGAAGGACAAAAGGCAAGGTGTGAATAAAAAAGATGAAAATATCGAAATAAGGAATTGTGTAAGATTCAGGCATGTATTTTAATCTGCATTTCCAATTGTATCAGAGTATTTTGTAATGGTAGCGTCAGTCTACAAGCAGATTTTGTAGTCAGCCAGTTTTGCCTTTTCTATTGAAGTCACTGCTTTATACTTACATCTTCTTTACAGTGTCTAGTAATTGCTGTTTAACTCTGCCAGACAGTGCTTTCAATTGCGGAAACACTAAAACTTAAATTTGCAATCTCACAAGGTTAGTTTTATTTAATTGCTTAGAATATTGGTATGCAAGTGAGTGACAGCAAGGATGAATGAATGGAAAAGCAATTCAATTTACTTGCTTTAATTAGGCTTATCTTTCTGCTGTATTTTCCTTCATAATTATTTACTTGTGCTTAGGTGTGTGTGGTGAGGTTTGCTCCATGGAGCTGATTTGTTTTCTAGCCTAGACTATAATGTATTCCACATTTTGCCTCTACCAATATGAAAAATTATGTTTGGCTATGAATTTCACATCTTCATCCTAAAATAATTTCTATTTCAGCCTGTGTGGCGGTACTGTGTGGGTAAGTTTGGGTCTGTGAATGACAGATAACACAATACCAATATGACAGTGCCTGGATATTCCCTCTGCTTTCACAAAGAATTAGATTCAAAAAGTGTAGCACAATCTGACACCACACAAGCTACCTATCAAATCTTCAACTCATTCTGCCTCTCCCTCAGCGGGGCTTGGTAAAATATTTGGCAAACCTTTAGCTGTTTCCTCCCCTTTTCCCTCCCAACAGTCACTGAAATTAGAGATGACAGTGGAACGATTTTTCGCATTAAATTTCATGCATGACTTTGCATAGCTTTGATCTACCAACATAAAACTTCCCATTGCTTAAATTCAATATAACGGAAAAGGGCATTTACATTTTTGGGATGTTAGTAAGCATACGGTATATAAGTGTTGCTTTACTGGCAGCCGGCCGGCATTAGGAGCTACTATTTGTGGACATATGATATGAGTGTATTGATCTGCGTCCGAATAAATGATTGTCTTTCTTGGATTCTCTGCAGGATATGCATCACTGCTGAACCTTGAACATAAAGATTTGTGTGATAGCACTGAGCACACAAATGAGCTTCTATAGGTGCACACCCGAGTGTACATGCAGAAAACTCACTGCATATTTTAAGGTATAGTTTGGCCTTGTGGTAATTGTACTTGTTGTATGTATGTTTATGTTGCAGGATCAAAAATAGCTAAACACAAAAGAAGCTGTTCTCCAGGGCTGAACTGGATCTTGTTTGGCAGATTATTGATTATTATTCCTTAAAGGTGCACTGTGTACATTTTCTTGTGGAGGGTCAGTCACCTGCTTGTTTCCTTGGAGGTGATTTGCTTTCCCTGGGATGTTCCACAATAGATACTTTGGAACTGATGTTATCACTGCTTGGCTACTCTGTCTGGGGCTTGTTTAATTTGACTTTCATTTTAATACAATCTGACCAGAAAGAACAGAGTTCACTGGAACTACAACAGTAGGGTGACCAAACGTCCGTTTTTCCCCGGACATGTCCGTATTTTGCGTCTTGTCCTGGGCGTCCGGGTTTTTTTTTTTAAAGTGATGGAAATGTCCGGGTTTTCATTACAGTTCATTGGGGGCATTAAATTGGTCGGCTTTCGTAGTTCTCTGTGACTCAGAAGGAGCTAGCAAACACAAACAGTCGGTCAGCCTGCAACATACCGAAGCGTAAATGCGCATTTAACAATGACTTGTACAAGAAATTCTCAGTTTTCCATCCCGGTCGGGACAAGTGGGAGGCCATGTGCACAAGTTGCGAGTGAGA